CAGGTGGATCACCTGAGGTCAGGAGTTCGAGACCAGCCTGGCCAACATGGTGAAACCCTGTCTCTACTAAAAATACAAAAATTAGCAAGTATGGTGGCGCATGCCTGTAGTCCCAGCTACTCGGGAGGCTGAGGCAGGAGAATCGCTTGAACCCGGGAGGCAGAGGCTACAGTGAGCTGAGATTGTGCCGCTGCACCCCAGCCTGGGTGACAGAGGAAGATTCCATCTCAAAAAATAATAATAAAAAAATACAAAAATAAAAAATTAGCCAGGCATGGCAGCAAATGCCTGTAGTCCCAGCTACTAGGGGGGTTGAAGCAGGAGGATTGCTTGAGCCCAGGAGGCTGAGGCTGCAGTGAGCTGTGATGTCACCACTGCACTCCAATCTGGGCAACAGAACAAGACCGTCTCTTGAAACAAGCAAACAAAACAACAACAACAACAATAATAAACAAGCTTAAGTTAAAATTTCATTAATTCAAACAGACCATGAAAATTCAGGAGAAATTAGTATGTGTGCATGGAGAGGGAAGGGTACTGGAGAAGCGGGCAACTGGTTTTACTCCAAATATTTTTATGTTTTCCCATCCTATCAGTTTTCTATAAATCTCATTTGCTATCACTAATACTTAAAGACAGAGGGCCCAAAATTGCATTCCACATTTGCACTTACTAAACTAAGGCCCCAATTTTTTTCCCACAAAAATATTTGTGTGTCTACCATGTGTCTTGGCACTTGGGATACAAGAGTCAATAAAATAGACAGGGAGTTTAAAGTTTTTTTTAGGATCAGATCTGTCCAGCAAGATGATGCTGTCTTTCTATGGCACGATTTACCACCTTCATCTGAAATCACAACACTGATTATCTCGTATGTTTTACACTAAAATTGGAAGTTTACAGCACCCTAGTGCTTTTAAATTTCTTTACATACTGTCCTGGTCATATCCAAATGGCAGGCTAGACATGGGTCTGGAGGCCTCCTTTCCTCTCTCAGGTCTGGAGTGAGGTAGACCATGCCCTCCATGTTTTCAATGCAACAGGCTGGGCAGCATGTATAAAACCGGGCCAGGCAGGAAGTTGGGAAGGGCTCTGAAAGCTCTGACTCAACACTAGGGAAAGGGTCTTCCCACGTCAGCAGGAAGTGCCAGCAAGAGTGTACAAGTATACAAGAGTGAGCACTCTAGCATACTTCCAGGCCTGGTCTGGGAAGTGAACCCAAGAGACCTGGGCCAGAAGAACAGACTCAGGGCAGGAACTGCCAGCACAGGGCTGAACCTTCACAAGCTCCTGGGACAGCCAGGTTTCCCAAGAGGGAAGTCTTTTTTCTGTTTTCTTGGCCAGGCTCACTTCTGTAACTGAATAAGAAAAAACTAGACGGGAGTGGGATGGACGGAAGGCAGGGAAGGAGCCACCAAAATTGCTTAAAGCAGAAGAAAACCATGCAGAAAATGAGACAGCAGAAGGGCAAAAGGAGCCCAGGGGCTGCCAGTCCTCAGATTAGAAGGCAGGTACACATAGATGTGTTTTAGCCAGGGGCTCTCCTGAATGACCCACTGACACGTGGAGGGGCAAACGTGTCTTGGAACAAGCTTTGGTGAGTACTGATCATGTTCCAGGACATATGGTAAGTCCTGGGAATGGGACATGTGCAAAGCTCATCTCTGCACCCTCCAGCCACTTACTGTGTAGTAGGAATACAGACCGCTAAACCAGGTAAACAATAAGGTGACTTCTGTGATGGGGCAGGCAAGTGGAATGATTAGTCAGAATTAGATTGCAACTTGAAGGTGAGGCAGGAGGTACCAAACTTTATGATTGATTCATTTTTTTTTTTTTTTTTTTTTTGTGGAGGGGGCTGTGGAAGTAGTTTCCAGAAGAAGAAACCGGTTGCATGAAGGACCAAGGCTTCGAGACAGCAGTTGTGGACTAGACAGATGGTCAGAAGGAGAACGCAAGATTCTCTAAGATGCTAGAGAGGGCAGTGGGGCCACATCTGGGGGACACGTAGATCACTGCAAAGACAGCAAAGGGAACCAAGTAAAGGCTCCACATAGGCACACAAGAACATGATCTGGGGCCAGGCGTTGTGGCTCACACCTGTAATCCCAGAACTTTGTGAGGCCGAGGGGGACAGATCACTTGAAGCCAGGAGGTCGAGAGCAGCCTGGCCAACATGGTGAAATCCTGTCTGTACAAAAAATAAAAAAATTAGCAAGGCATGGTGGTGCCTGCCTGTAATCCCAGCTCCTCAGGAGGCTGAAAATCAGTTGAACCCAGGAGGCGGAGGTTGTAGTGAACCAAGATTGTGCCACTGCACTCCAGCCAGGGTGACAGAGAGAGACTCTGTCTCAGGAAAAAAAAAAAAAAAAAAAAGAACGAACACGATCTGGACAATTCATTTGGGGGATCCATGTTCCCCAACAATGTCACATAAGACAAAATGTGAGACCACCAGAAACCCATGAAGCTCCCATGTTCTCAGTGAATATAGGGTTAACAGACATCAATGGGAACCCTGTCTTTAAACATGAAAAAAAATCAGCCTAGCTTCGTAGGATCAAGCAGAACTGGCCTTCTCTTTAGAAAGATTACCAGCCTCAGGAACCACAACTCCCACAGTGCACCAAGAAGAGGAAGTACTGGTTTCAGAGCTGTCTCAACGCCTTTATCTTTTAAAACAGTGCCATCTGGTGGGCCTTAAACCTTAAAGGGGAAATTCTACCTCCAGGTCCATCTGTAATCCTAGGGCGGCTCTAACCAACTCTTTTCAGGTATCAAAATTCTTCAGCCCAAATACATAAAGAACTCTTACGACTCAATAACAAAAAGACAAATAGGCTGGGCATGGTGGCTCACGCCTGTAATCCCAGCACTTTGGCTGGCTGAGGTAGGTGGATCGCTTCAGTCCAAGAGTTCAAGACCAGCCTGAGCAACATGGCAAAACCCCATCTCTACAAAAATACAAAAATTAGCCAGGCATGGTGGCGCACGCCTGTAGTCCCAGCTACTCAGGAGGCTGAAGTGGGAGGATCACCTGAACCTGGGAGGTTGAGGCTGCAGTGAGCCATGAACACTAGCCTAGGCAACAGACCAAGGCCCTGTCTCAAAAACAACAACAAATAACCCAATTTAAAAATGTTCAAGCCTGAGAGACATAGGTGGGAAGATCGCTTGATTCCAGGAGTTTGAGACCGGCCTGGAAAACATAGCAAGACCCTGTCTGTACAAAAAAAATTAAAAATTAGCTGGGCATGGTGGCACATACCTGTAGTTTCCAGCTACTTTGGAGGCTGAGGTGTGAGGCTCACTTGAGCCCAGGAGGTTGAGGCTGCAGTGAGCTGTGACTGTGCCACTTGCACTACAGCCTGGGTGACAGAGCAAGAGCCCCTCTCATTAAAAAAACCATGGTCAAG